AACATTTCCAAGTTGAATGAAACCATAAAATACTTACCAGTTACATTTCCAGTAACATTTTGTTCATAGTTGACTACTTTGGATTTTAACTTAAATTCTTTATTTGTTTGGGGAGCATGAGAAGATATTGAAACTTTCCTTTCCTTCTGGGGTGTATTCAGACTTTGGGGAAGGAAAAAGAATGGCACGGAAGACATGATGGAGAATAGTCCAGCCATAAGGAAACCAAGCCACCAGGCGCCAACCCAACGAGAATCCTTAGGAGTTATATGAATACTGCCTATAATAAAGAAGTATAAAAATAAAGTCATTAAAATCACTTTGAAATTTAATTAATGCTGGGTATAAGAATGATTGGTCTTTTCCATAAATAAAGAGAATAAGTTGAATTTCATCAAATCGAGGATGCTATTTTCTTTTTTCATACTTTTAAACTTTGGAGTCAGAAGGACATATTACCATTAGTGTCCAGATACCAGTTATAATACTGCTATCATTGCCTAAGCCTGAATAATCTTGAGATCAAGAAATCACTGCTAACACTAAAATTTATAGCAGTTTATAAGAAATTCTCAGAGCTAACAATGGAGCAGACTTTTCCCCAGAGATCGACATTTTTAACTCTCTTGACAGCATGGTAGGTGGTATTAATAGAAAAACACAAACAATAAACATTGAATTTAAAAGTGATTCAAGTAACCTAGTTGCTAATCTCTTCTAGATATTTCACATAAGTGGATTCATACAGACATATATCCATGTCTGACTGATGTATTTCAGTCACAAAATTTTCAAGTTTATCTATATTCAGTTTTTACTGAATAATATTCTATTATATGGATATGCTACACACAGACACATACACACCATAAAAGACTGAAGTACAATTTAAATAGTACCAATACTCCTTGATTTAAAAGAAAACTCATTAACAGGAGAAAACATTGGCTTTCTTTAAAATTATCTCGGAATATATTTTAATTATATTTATATAATGAATTTTCAATTCTTCACAAATCTGGTTTAAATTTATAATCTTAATGTTCCATAACAAAAAAATTCTAGGATATGATTTGTTAAATTAGCAACTCAATTCATAGGCTAAGTGCTTATCATCTTTCAAGATGCCAGTTTGATGACCTTTTTTCCGTTTGATTATTGGTTTCCACTTAGGGACTAGAGATGTCATGCCAAAACAACCTTAATATCCAACAAAATCGATCTCAAGGTACAGGCCATAACAAGAGACAAGGAGGGGCACTAAATAATGCTCAGAGGAACAGTAGACCATGAACCATTGACTATAATAAATATATACGCACTCAACGGAATTCATAAATCAAACACTCCAAAAGATGAAAAAAGAAATCACAGGCTCAACAATTATAGTTGGTGACTTTAATACATCACTATGAAAAGGACAGATCACTTGGAAAGAAACTCAACAAGGAGACTACAGATCTAAACAGCACAATTGGACAACTTGACTTGACAGATATTTTCAGAATTTTCCACCCAAATGCAAAAAAAAATCACATTCTTTTAAAGTCCACGTGGCACATATTCAAAGATA